ATAAAGGTAAAGTTCTTCTCCGGGCTCCGGTGTGACCAACAGCGGCGCTGAAGACAAATATTCCTTGAGCTCGGCCAAAGCCCGGTCACACTCTTCATCCCATGAGAACTTTGATTTTAAGGCTTGAAAGAAAGGGCGGCAGCGATCTGATGACCGGCTTATAAATCGATTAAGCGCAGCGGCCATTCCGGCTAGATGCTGCACATCCTTAGTCGAGCTGGGCTGCTTCAACTCTTGCACTGCTCGGATTTGTGTAGGGTCTGCTTCGATACCTCGGTTCGTGGCTAGGAAACCCAAAAAATTTTCGGATCCCACGCCGAAGGCGCACTTAGACGCATTCAAGCGTAGCTTGTGCTTTTTGAGAATGGCGATCATCTCGGCCAAATCGGACAAATGGTCTGCTTGATGCGGGCTCTTAACCACCATATCATCAATATAGGCCTCCATTGTCCGGCCTAGCAGAGGAGTGAACATCTTGGTCACCATCCTTTGAAAGGTTGCCCCGGCGTTCTTCAAACCAAAAGGCATGACTCGGTAGCAGAAGAGCCCCCTTGGTGTAGTAAACGAGGTGACCTCTCGGTCGGGCCCATGCATGGCAATTTGATGGTAGCCGCGGTATGCGTCCAAGAAACTGAGCCTGTTATGTCCAGCTGTTAAATCCACAAGTTGGTCTATTCTAGGCAGAGGGAAGCTGTCTTTCGGACAAGCTCGGTTGACGGTCTTGTAGTCAACGCAAACTCGCCACTTCCCATTCTTCTTGGGCACCACGATTGTGTTGGAAATCCACCGCGGGTAGTGCACTTCCTGAATTGCTCGCGCCTCAAGCAAGTTCTTCACTTCCTCCGCAACTACCTCGGCATGATGCAGCGCCGATCTCCTTGTTCGTTGAATGACCGGCTTTGCCCCGGGGAAGACATTGAGATGATGGCATATAAAGCTCGGATCGATACCGGGCATGTCGTAAGGTGTCCATGCGAAGACTTCGATGTTGGCCATCAAGAACTCAACCATGTCGGTTCTTTCTTGGGCTATAAGGCTTGAGCCGAGCAAGAAGAACTTGTCTGGATGCTCGGTATCAATGCGCACTTCCACCAATTCCTCGACAGCTTTGTCCTTGGCCTTGGTGCCCACATCGTCGAGGACTCCCCGGTCTTCCGGTCTCTCAATCATTTGAACGAAGCCTTTGGCAGCTCGGCTCACGTTGACCGCCACGAAGTATTGCTTCGACATGACTTGATCGCCCCAAATTTCTTCGATTGCCCCCATAACCGAGGGGAATCTCATCACCTGATGATAGGTCGACGCTACGGCTTGCATAGCGTGAAGCCATCCCCTTCCTAGGATCAAATTATAAGTGGATGGCACCTGCAAAACCCAGAACTTCACTTGTTTGACCACGGATCCCGCTTTGACCGGCAGGATAATCTTTCCCAAAGGCCACTGTGAGTTGAAACCAACCAGTGGCGAAGTTGCTGGGGCCAAATCTGTATCCCAGAGCTTGAGCTGTTTGAAAGCGTCGTAGTACATGATCTCGACCGAGCTTCCCTGATCGATCAAGATCCGTTTGACATCAAATTCTTTGACGCGGAGTGTAACCACCAGGGCATCGTTGTGCGGCGTCTGGATGCGCTCTAAGTCTCTTGAAAAGAAACTGATCACTTCTTTCTCTTCGGTCTTCCCCCTCTTGATTGCAGGCTGAACCGACAAAACTTTCCTCATATGTTCTGCCTTCTTGATCATACCTCGGAGCTCGCATATACGCGCAGGTTCCACTATGCCGTGGATGACATTAACCACCCCTTGTGGAGGCGCATCTCGGTCATCCGGTCCCCGTGGGTCAACCGGAGCTTGATTGGCTTTCACACCCCCCATCAATGTATAGATCCAAGTGCCCGGCTGCGACTAGCTCTTCCAAGTGTTGCCTCAAAGGCAAACAGTCCTCTGTCCGGTGGCCTCGCTCCCGGTGAAACGTGCAACGGTACCTTGGGTTGAAGCCCTTCTGCCCATCGCCTAACTTAGCAAGAAACCGGACGTACTCCTCGTCACGGATTTCACTAAGTATGCGATAGATTGGAATCTTAAAGACTGTGGTGATGCCTGTCCTAGCTCTCAACCTTCTGTTTGCATCGGCTACGTCATCCCGGGGGTAGTCATCCCGGTCATTCCGACGTCCCCTACCCCAGTTTTTGCGATTATTGCCACGGTCCGATTCTTCAGCGCGGTCGCTGGATCGGCCGGACTCCTGTCCGACGGCGTGCACTTTGCCAGCTGATCGTTTGTCTGTGGCTACCGGGGTTGCCTTCACGTTAGATGCTAACGCATCATCTTCCACTCGGATGCGCTCATTGATGCGCTGCATTAACTGGCCCATGGATGTCGTCTGGTGCATGGTAAGCGAGTCCCGCAGTCTATGTCCGACTGGAAGACCACGCTTGTATTGTGTGATTGCAAGGTTGACCGGGCAATCTAGGATCTCATTGAAGGTCTCCCAATATCTACAGTTGTATGCCTTCAATGTGTCGCTTGTTTCCATCTTGACACTGAGGAGGTGATCAACTTCCTTTGGTGTTTTGGTGTTGGTTTTGAAGCGCGTCACAAAGGCTTCGGCCAACTGTTGCCACCTTTCAATGCTCCCCTCCGGCAACCTCTCGAACCATTTCAAACCCAGCTCGCCCAAACTTGACGGGAAGATCAAGTACATAAGAGCGTCATTCCGCCTATGTCCAGCCATGACCTGTCGACAATGACTTACATGCATATATGGGTCGGTTTTTCCGTCATAGAGCGTGAACTTTGGCTGGTCGAAGCCCGCCGGAAGCGGCGCGGTCTTTATATCCACGGAGAATGGGGTGGCACTCAGCCTCGCCAAGTCTGTATCTACAAGGAGAGGCGCGGCTGGGCGGGGTAGAGGCATTCTGACCTCCTCGCTAGCATGAACCCCATAGGATAGCCGCTGGAACGCCGGCACCCTTGGAACCTCCCGTCGGTGAGCCCGTTCCTTCAAAACTGCCCGTAAATCCTCAGAGTGAGCAGAATAAGAATACCTCAACGTCGTCGCCGGACGTGAGGGTAGATAGGTGCTGTCTTGTGCGCTGGACTTCTCTTCATGCACATTGGAATCTGCAACCTTGTAACTTCTGGTGATAGAAATGGAAGGAGTGTGCCGCTGACTCTGACTTCCTGAACGGCGAGGTTGGGTGCGCTCACTGTGGTCTCCCTCTCCAGCTGCACCCTTCCCTTTGACATGTCGCTTCAGCTCCTCCATCTCCGCCACCATACGCCAGATGACGGCGTCCTGGTCCCTTAACTTGTGTTCCAGACGTCTGGCATGTGAGTCTCTCCGCCGCCGATGACCGTCTGGACTCCGTGAATGACCATAACTTTTTCCGCGCTTATCCCGCGCGTCTCTGGAATGTTCTCCTGGAGAAATCTCCAGGGCCGCCATCAGAGGAACGATGGTGGGATGCCCCTCTCTTCGTCTGCCTGACTTCGGGGTAATTCCGTCGACAGCGGACAGCGGAATCTCCTCGTTGTTCGCCATGGACGGCGATCAGACGAGCCTGGAAGACAAGGTTTTGTCTGTCAACTTCCCACAAACGGCGCCAATTGTACAGGGAGCAAATATTCAGGCAAGCCTGCACTCCTTTCTTCCAAGCTCCTGACTGTCCGATCGACCTGCGAGCACAACGGCGGTGAGCTACCCGGCGGTGTGTGGCCGGAATACCCCTCTGACGATCAAGTTAGACACACACAGGGATAGAGAGAGAGAGAGAGAGAGAGAGAGAGAGAGAGAGAGAGGACTGAGTTGTGTTTAGTGTATGTCTCACCAAATGTGCATCTGTGAAACATGGGGGGCGCAGACTTGCTTATATACCTTCTGCGCCCCAAACCTACCCTCAGCGCTCTCTCGACACGTGGTACTGCTATCCCATCCGTCAGCACAAATCTTGTTGTACGTCACCCAACCCAACTGCCAGCCCACTCTGCTGGGAGCTCGGCAGCCGGGGTTCAGCGTCACGGCTGCCGACATCCAGGCTGCACTTCATGCCCAAGTGTAACAATAGCCGAGCTCCGTTTCTATCATACTCGACTGCATTCTGGTGAAGTCAAGCTCCAGAAAGGTCACGCCGATCAACCAAAGGCTTTCCTGCCGAGCTCCGGGCGCGAGCTTCCCTGCTGAGCCAAAGGTGCGTGCCTTTTGGCCGAGCAACGCAAGTTGCACGGTCACCACAGGTGCAAGTAGTTCGGCCACGAGCTGAGCAGCCCAACTCCGGGCAGATCCTAAGCTATCGCGGCCCAACACGCCCTTGGGTCTTCAACTTACTCAGATTTTATCTCGGCCCACTTCCAGCTCATAAATCTCCCTCTAAAATAGTAAATAAGTTATAAATTAAAACTTATAACATAGTAATTTGTTTGGAAAATGTTTTTTTAATAATTTTTTAGCTTTTTAACTAAAATATAAGGTGAAAAAAAATTGAAAGATCTGTTTGGTTTGATTTTCAAAATCTTTTTTTCAAATTGTTTTCTCTAAAATTTTAAAACATAAAATGATAAAAAAAAATTAAAAATTAAAAAATATTGATCATTTTCATATAGTTTTATTTTTTGATAGATATAAATAATTTAAAAATTTTAAATTATTATTTTAATATTTATTTTTATCAAACTAGTTCTATGTTTTGAAAAATATTTTGAAATGCAAACCAACCAAGTGGAAGTGTTTGAGAATGGTTGAAAATTAAAATTTTGAGTACTTGAATTTTTTGTATGATTTTTTGAATGTTTAACTTTTTAATTTTTTTTATAATGATTTTTTTAACTAATTTAAGCTTATTGCCAAACGACCTCCAAGTTTGAGCATTTTATGGATCTGGGATGGCTAAATTATATTTACATGATGTTTGTTTATAATATTTGAACATTGTCATTCTCGTGACTACTTTTTGATTAATCAGTTTTGTATTAATTCGGAAGCAAAGTAATTAGATGTTGCTCACCGTAAAATTGTTGACTTACTACTAGTGAGAGAAGCTCAACACCAGAGGGGCATGCGAATGGCCTGGACACTGGATCATCCTCCTTTGTGACACACAATAAATACAAAAGGGTGTCCTTATGTCCAAAACGAGCAGCCCAGTGGAGCGGTAACCAAGTACCATTGTCGCGCATATATAAGGAGGCAGGGTGTTTGTCCACCAGGATAACCGCAGCCTTGGTGTTTCCGAGCCATGCAGCATATTGAAGGGCAGTGCCACCGGCCGTGGTACGCAATTCCAGCGCCTCTGCCGGCATCATATCCACCAACTCCTTCACAAATTCGATTGACCTTCCACTCTTAACTGCTATGTGGAGTGCGGTGTCCCTGGAATAGTGATATTGGCAGTGAGTGCATCTGGATCTTGGTCTAAGAATATTTTGGCGGAATCCCAGTCTCCCTTGAGTGCAGCTTTGAGGAGTGGTGTGTATCTCCAGTCCTCATCATTGTTCTCTGCATCCATCCATGCAACCATGACCAAACAAACATTAACATACATATTAATAACCAGAAATTAAGGGTCAATCATGTGCAATGTTTTTTAATTATCACGTAAGCAGTGAGATTCGAACACAAGATCTTGCTTAATTTGATACCATGTTATAATTGACCACCGACTCAGTTAATGTTTTATTTGTCTAGGCAAAAAATATTATCAAATGTAAAATATTTTTCTATGTTTGGTGGTGGTGGTGGTGGTGGTGGTGAAATGAAGGTGGAGGCGGTGGCATGGTGGTAGGGCAGCGGTGGTAGTAGCAATGGTGGTGGTGGCAATGGCCGTGATGATAGTTTTGATACCATGTTATAATTGACCACCAACTCAGTTAATGCTTTATTTGTCTAGGCAAAAAATATTATCAAATGTAAAATATTTTTCTATGTTTGGTGGTGGTGGTGGTGGTGGTGAAATGAAGGTGGAGGCGGTGGCATGGTGGTAGGGCAGCGGTGGTAGTAGCAATGGTGGTGGTGGCAATGGCCGTGATGATAGTGGTGTGGTGGTGGACGTGAGAGTGACGGTGGTAGTGTGGTGATATTGATAAAATTTTAATGGGGAAAACATTTTCTGCCTTGTAAAGGGAGAAAACATTTTATGTCCATACAAACTTGTTTTCTGTTGACCATGAAAAATGTTTTCCATTTCTGTCCCTGGCGTAGAGGATAATAAAAACACATAGCAAAATATTCCTCTCCATCTTTGGAGAGGGAAAGCGGTTCAATATGTTGTTTTTTTATTTTATTTTATTTTATTTTTTTAACTAAGATCCCTCGATAAAAATTTTCTGCAATCATACCAGAGAAATTTCTTTATGAAAATTGAAATTTCTCTGTGTCAGGCCAAAATTTCCCTATATGAAATTTTCTCCATGAAAATGATGAGGGCCCTTAACCACTTCGAAAATATTATATGTTCTTTCTCTTATAAAATTTTAATATCAGAGAACTTAAAAAAAAAAATCTCATTAAATTTCTTACTCATTTTTTATTACTAAACCCAAATATATATATATATATATATATATTTATTCATGTAGATCTCATATTGCCTTATATCAAGAAGTAAAATTGTTAAATGAAGCTGAATTATTTGTACGAAATTTTTACAATTAATGACACTAAACAACTAGTGGCTTTACATTTATTAAAAGTGTTTGGTTTTTCTCAAATTGTGGTTGGACTTGTAGATTCATTTTGAGAATGATTTTAACAATATGAATCGCTTAAATTTCAGGACTCGTTGAGTCGAATATTTATACAAAAAATTAAAATTGAAAATCCTAAGTGATTCGTGATTAGATCAAGATTAAAATATTTCAAATTCCAATTATTCAAAACACGCAATCTAAATCATCAAGCACTTACGAAAGTGATTTAGATTATTATTTTTCTGAATAAACAATAAATCGAGACAAACGATTTTTACGTGGAAAAAACCACAATTGAAGAACCTTCAATTGTAATAAAAAAATCACGGGCAAAACGCCACTAATCAATCCACTACTGAAGAAAGAAAGATTACAAAGATTACAAAGATAACACACAAATTACCCAACTCAGTCAATTTGTCTTCGAATCTTCTATAACTCTTTCACAACGCCTTCGTCTCGGAACTGATCAATCCTGAAGTTAAATCCACAACTTCACTTCTCGAATTAACGACTACGTACAGAATCAAACGCCTTTTGAAACTCTACGCTTGAATCTTCGGAATCCACCGAAGAATAACACTCTTGTATGTATACGAACAATCTCCTTGATATGTGCTTCTCTAATCATGAGTTGAATACTCATTCAATTTTATCAAGGAAAACTCACAAAAATCTCTAGAAGAAAACCTCAAACAAAACCCTAAAAAACCTTAAACAAGATCTAGGAGAAGTAATCCTAAAACAGACCTAACATGCGAATTTATAGAACCTGAGATCGCGTGGTCCGCTCGAGCGTGGGAATTAATTCCCGCTTGAGCAGAGACTGCATATTCCACGATTCATACAAGGTCCACGCTCGAGCGGAAGTTTCCACGCTCGAGCGTGGAATCCCACTATCTAGTATTTTTGCAGGCATGAGAGAGATACTGGGAGGGTGAAAACCCTGCTCGAGCGTCATGTTCCCCGCTCGAACGGGAAGACCAAAACAAGAAAATCTAAAAAATAAGAAATTGCTACAACCTTGGTTTTGTTCCATGGTTTGACAACAAAGGGTCCTAACAAAAATGGTTGAATATTAGTAATTATTTATTTAAATTATATTTGTTTTAAAAAAATAAATGATAAATAGATGATAATATATTTAAATTATAAGGTTTGTTGAGTTGGCAACAAACATGACACAGACGCATCTGGCCCCTCTCTCTCTCTGTCTTCTCTCTCTCTCTCTCTCTCTCTCATACACACAACCGCAGCTCCCTCACCACCGGCTCCTTCTCTCGTTCTCACAGGCAACTCCCTCACCGCCGGCTTCTTGTCTCGTTCTCACCGTCGACTCATCTCCCTCTCACGGTATCTCCGTCTCTCTCTCTAGTTTTTTGCTTTTGTTCTTCAGATCTGGAAAATGGTGGAGATGAAGATGAAGATCTGTAGGTGATGAAAATGATGAAAATGTTTTTTGATCTGTTAGATCTGTTAGGGCTCAGATGTTTGATTTGTTAGATGTTTTTTGAGTTTAGATCTGTTGATGTTGTTGTTGTTGATGAATTCATTTTCTAGAGCTGTTTTTTTTTTTTTTTTTTTTTTTGGGCCAGTTTTTTTGGGGGGGGGGGGGGATCTGTTGTTGTTGATAATTGATAGAGAAGTCCGTCAGTGAGGGAGAGGGAGAGGGGATGGGGACGAAAAATTTGCACCATTGGGAATCGGGGAGGGTGATCCCTGGCCCTGTCTCACTCCGTTGCCATTCCTAAATATAACAAACATGGGGAGAGACAAAAATTTTAACGTAAAATTATTTTTTTGAGACCAATTAATTTGTTACCTAAATTGTCATTATTATATTTTTAGCAATGAAATTTAGACATTACTAATAAATTATTATTTTTTTGAGACCAAATTATTTTTCTTAAAAATACATTTTAAAATTTTATCACTGAAAGTCCCATTTTCAAAATAAGTGAACCCCATTAAACAATGTAGAAAGAGTTTGATTCTTATAATTTTCAACCATTTATCATACTGATGCATACAATGCAAAGTAATAAAGGACAGTGTGATGAGAAAGGGTATAAACGGGAAACAATAATGAAGAGTAAAAGGATATGACAATGGATGATAATGTCATGTAACTTACCCGTTGTCCCTGCGTACTGGAAGAAGCAGCCATGAGCACTTTACCCTCCTTTTGAAATCTTTATTATATACAAATGTAAAATAAAATTAAACTTCTTCAAAAGTTAGTTGGCTGGTGTTGATCTCTCACAAAACTCTCACTTCTCTTTGGGGATTATGGAAGAGTTTTCATGTCTATATATATATATATATATAGAGAGAGAGAGAGAGAGAGAGAGAGAGAAGGAAGGAATATATATATATGGAAGAGTTTTCATGTCTATATATATATTATGAAAGTGAAGGAAGGAATAAAAATATTAAAAATAAAAAAATACCTTACTAATGCAAGCAAGTAAAATGTTCAAAGTTCAAAATAAACCAAAGGGTCTCTCTCTCCTCTCTCTCTCTCTCTCTCACATTTTTTTTACACATTTTTATGGATTTTTTTGACAAATATTACATAATCTTTTTAATAGAATTACAACAATTTGTGATTCATAAATAAAATTCAACATTACACATTTTTTCATTGAAACATTTTTGAATTACAAATTGTCATACTTTTATTTAAAAAAAATTACGAAACATTTGTCACAAAAACATTTGACATGTACTAGAAAATAGATAATAAGGTGCATGTAAGTGTAACGAAGGGTTCCCCTCAATCTAACACAACATTTCAAAATGTATAATTCACAGCCATATTCGTCTATCTATATGACAATATGTCACCATTTCATACTTAAAATAAAAAATACTTTCGATTATTAATTAGGTGCTATTTTTATTTACAACTTTTTTTTGTAATAGAGGTGATTAAAGAATATGAGAAAAAGAATTATTTTAAATATTTTAATAGATTATCAAATTATTAAATTTAAATAATGAGTTTAAATTTTAAATTAGAGTAGCATAATTCTTTTCGTAATCGTTAAAAGTGAAGTGTTGGTTAATTTAGGAAAAAGAGGTTACTAGGAGGAGCCTCCTCCTAGGAAAAATAGGTATATGAAAAAGTAAAGGAAGTATAGAGGGCAGAAAGGAAAAAACAAAATACCTTACTCCAATCATACCCAACGAACAGCATGCAATAAGAAAAGTTAGAATAAATTCAAGGTTCAAAAACTGAACCAAACAGTTTAGATGATTGGAAAAAAGTGACAACTTGGCCATGAGGAAAATAATGCATAATTGTTTGTAATTTTTTCCAATAACCAATTACATAGACTAGCATTAGCGTGTGGAGGTGACAAGGATGAAAAGTGAAAATAGCATTTGACAGACTTATTAAAAATTATTCAAAATTCAACTTTGATATGATGTTAAAATAATTAATTTAAAATTAATTGACAAATAATAAAAGGGTCTTTTAAGTATATATTAACCAAGTTTGAATGGTTTATAATGCTTTTATTTTATTATGTGGTTGGTTGATTTCTCCTCAACCAATTTGTGTGGTTGGTGCTGCAAATGATTGGATATGTCTTTTTGTGCCAACTTAATTGGGATAATTGGGTCATGCTATGATACTTATAGCACTGTCTTTTTGTTATTTGTTATTTCTTTATTGATGTATGATGTAAGACTTTGCTCTTGATTCTTATCAATAAAATTTATTTTGTTGAAAAGAAAATATAAGGCAAATATATTAATGATGTCATTTTTGCCTCTCATTTCTCTGTCACCGCCACATGCTATCTGAGAGGCCAGCCCTGGCCCAAGGAGAGCTAGGCAGTCTCCTTGTTCCTACAAATTTTGTCAAATAATAAAACCCATCATCCTTCGCAATTTTTTTAGTCAAACCCATCCGACATTATCTGTCTCCCAGGTTTACACTCGTTTTCTATTCAAACAAAACAATTTGTTTTTTCAACGCAATCACATGGACTTCTCCTACCATTATATATATATATCCTTTCCTCTCTTTTGTGTTTTTTTTTTCTCATACACCCATGTGGTTTTCTCTCCTTTTGTTTCTACAGAATCTATCTTCTTTTTCTCCCCACTTACATGCTTTTTATCTGATTACATGAGTTGTTCTCAATCTTCAGTCACTCTCCATTTAAATACAAATTCCTTTTTACAATATTTTTCTACGGAAGTGTAAAGTGTAAGATTGCTCTGATTGAGTGTATGGGTGATGGGGATAGTGGTACTAAAAATGAAGAAAGGAAGAAGAAAATGAAAGGAGGGGAAGAAGGGAATAGAAACAAAACAAAAAAGTATGTAGTATTGATCTTGGTTCCAGGGGCAACCATGGAGAAAATGAATGGAAGGTTTGAGTGTTGAATTTTGACTTCATAATTAAATCAGATCTCTTCGCTGAGATCTTTGGAACTAAGTTGTAGAACACATGCAAAAATAAAAAAGCCCCACAACTACACACAAAGAGACAATAAGACCGAGGGCATTTTGATGATCAAGTCAGTCAACAATCTCACAATTATCTCGGCTCAAGTAAAGAAACAGTTCTCAAGTAAAGCGTAAAATAAAGTGTACCTTAGACTCACGGGAGTGTCCTCTTTATATAGTCAACAATGGTCATCTTCCGTAGAAGTCTTACTGTTAGAAATTGGACGCTCATGTGGCATGACCCTTTGAACCTTTTGAACCTTATCCATGTAAGTTTGAATTTGAATTCAAAACTTACTTGGATAACCACTCAGAATATCCATATCTATCATATCAACTGATATGGATAAATGAGATATTATCCTATATATCTGATATGATATGGGATATGGGTGATTAAGAGAAAAACAACGTATGTCGTATGTTTTTCCTATATACTGACTCTCTCCCAAAATACAACGATCAAGAGCCATTTTGCACTGTGACTTGTGTGGGTGAGATATTCATTCTGTAATATCACTCCATTGCTGGGTTGATTGATCAGATTGAGGAAGCACGTGATTTACCCACGAGATCCTTCAATTCAGACTCTGCTGAAAAAGGTATGACCATAATTTTTCATCCGCTGCGTTATAATGCTTTATGTTTTACATTGGTATCAGAGCATGAATGGATATTTTCGTGTTTTCTCTAATCATGTGTATATTTTATATATATATGTACACATTATATACATGAATGTTTATAGAGGAAAATTTCAACTCCCATTAGATTGAGAGTGTGGTACACCTCATTTTTATATTCATTAAATGTGATTTTTGATGTCATAAATGTTTTTGTTGTGAAAAATGGAGTTCAGGAGTACCAAAATCGGACCGAAAAACACCCCAGAAGGCGGCGGGTGTGCCTCACGCTCCAGATGACGCCGTTAGTGGCGGACACACGCTCTCACGAGCCTTCACGTGCTGAGACGCGCTTCCACGCGCGCGCTGTTCCGCGCTGCCCACGCGCACGCCGAGCGCTGAGACACGCGCTGAGCCGCTCTCTGAACCGAGCCGCGCCGTTTTTCGCGCCGATTTGGCTGGTTTGACAGCTGTGGTTAAGGGTCTGTTTGTTTTCTTTGAAATTCAAAATTACGTTAAATGGTCATAAGTAATTCGTTATAGCTTTGTTTTAAGCATGGTTAGTACCGTTATACTCAGAATTAAATTTTCTATCTTCTGCATATTTTTCAAAATTTTATGAAAATAAAAAATATTTTTCTTGATATAATAATTCATTATTTCTGCTTTAAAATGCATCTGGTGTTGCATGATTAAGTTTTTGGGGCTGAATTTGTTATTTTAGACCACTGTAATGGTTTAATATTTACTGGTATGGTTTTTTGTATTTTACCAGATTCTGAAATGTTTATTTCTAATTTTATATGTATTTATTAGTTATTTAAAATTTGAGAAAATACCAAAAATTTCCAAAAAATTTCAGAAGTGATATAGTTTCTGTTATGACATAATTTGAATATTAAATACAACATATTTTTTGGGTTTGTAATATGTTGCAATTAAATGAGCATGATTAGTTATTTATTTATTTATTTATTTATTTGAATTCCATTATTAAATGAATAGCATGAGTTATTTGTAAATTTACATTAAGATGCTATTGTATGGAATTTATCACGCTTTGACATGCCATAGTCAGTGGGAGGTTGTTCGGTTGAGAGAAATCTTTGTAGATTTACTCCCGAAAACCAATATTTTGCGCATAAATTAAATTAAATTTTGGATAATTGTCACCTGTGGCGCAAGAGATGATTACGAGCATAGCGGATTTTCGATCTTACGACTTGTGTAATATTGTCACTATTTAATTTAGATTTTTGCAGCAAAATTATATTATGCTAGTCAAAATTAATCCCAATACGAATTTCTCTCTAAATTGACTTAGTTTATGGAAGTTATTTGGTTGACCTAAACTTAGTAGAGATGTTCAAATGTGAACAATGTAATCCCATTCTTTAGAAGAGCAAAAGTCTTGGAAACTTTAGGTCAAACCTTAATTGAGCCAAAGTAAGGAAACATGACTCAAAGCCGCTGTGGTTTTGTTGCCTTGTTTGGCACAATAAAAACTAATGTGTGCGCTATGGTTAGCGGCATGCTACGTAATTTTGGTTAGTGAGTTTTGGAGTTGTGAAATTAGTAAGCCCTCAATAGATCTGTATATGATCTTGATTATTGAGCTACGCGGATTGACTTTGTAATTTGACTTGTAAATAATATTACATCATTGGATGAAGTAACATTCAAGAGTCACGTCATCCAAGAAATGCGAGCTTAAATAAATTAGTAATTAAGTGTAAGACGAGTAGCCAGTATGAGTAGTGTTTTGCTCTCTACCCAATTATTGGGAGTGGATGGAGCAAAATTTCATGTACTATAATAGTATACGTTGAAATATCACGTGAAGTTAAAAGATTAGCGCTTAGAAGCTGCAAAATCTATTAACACTAAATGGAAAGATTAGCGCTTAGAAGCTGCAAAATCTATTAATACTATGTGAAAAGATTAGTGCTTAGAAGCTGCAAAATCTATTAACACTAAGTGAAAAGATTAGCGCTTAGTGGCTGCAAAATCTATTAGCATTGTGGACTTGCCTAAGTCTGGACACTTACTGTTTCCACACTTGAGTGTGAGACATGAGGAAGGGCTTCTTTGTATGATTCCTTAGCTAGGCCAACATTTTTGAATAATGTTTACCACTAAGCGCAAACGTTGCAGCATAGTAATAAAAAGGTCAAGGCCGACAAGGTTGTTATGACTCTAAGAATTTG